GCAGCTATCTGGAACTATGCTGTGGTTTTAACCCTATCCAATGGCTTGGCACTTAGGAGGAGTAAAACAAATTTTGGTTCAATTTTAATCTTTAATGACCTGAGGGTTCCATATCTATCTTGTCAATACAGAGGTATTATGAAAATTCATAATTAACCTGGACATCTTTTGCAACAATGCAAGATCATAGCATGAAAGCAGTTAAATCAACAAAATTATTCTGTAAGTTTCCTGAATTTGATACTAATACTGTTATTTACCTTTGTTTTAACTCAGATTTACCTGTTTCAGTAATTCTCATCTCTTTCCTTTCCCTCTTTATATCCCAATTTCATGAACTCTTTATTTCCAAAGAAAATGCAAATAGAGAAAATGTGTTGCTCTGTATTTTCTTAAAAACTGTATGAGTTCTTAAGTGTCTAAATTGTTTTCTAAATTACTTTAGTAACTGGAGTAGTTTTTGTTTTGTTTTTTTGTTTTTCTCAACGTAATAGGAGACTTGAATGTTGACTCTAGTGGATTCCACTTCTGGTTAATCCAGGTTAGGATTTATGGAGACCCCATGTGGTGATAAAAGGCACCACAAAAAGGCTTCCTTCAGGAGGGGGGACAGAGTCAAAGAGAAACTCAGAACTCATTTGGGAGCAACATAGAATTAAGACCTAGAACAATGGTAGTGAAGCAATGGAAGGCCTCTATAAAACACATTGCAATAATTCTGAAGAAACAATACACACTATTTGTAAAAATGAGAAATCTGGTCACTCATGTAGGAATTTCCCTTTATTATCTGAAAAGTTGCTGACCCAGAGAAATTAATGTGCTATGTCTCTCATGGATTAGTTGCAATCTTCCTGATTTTTCTTAATGAAATCCATTGGACATACCTTTTTATTTAAATTTGCATCAAATTAAACTATGTTTCTATAGGCCTTTTGATTTCAATGCTACTTTCTGCTCTTTTCTCTGTTGTACACAGAATGAAAGCAAGCCAGAGAAAGAATCATACTTGAACTTATGTCCGTGACTTGCCTTGTGCAGTGATGCACATAGCATTATTTGTGAACTAGAGGCCCAGTGCATGAAATTCATGCAAGGGGCGAGGGATATCCCTCAGCCCAGCCTGTGCCCTCTCAAAGTCCAGAATCCCTTGGGAGATGCCTGATGTGGGGAGCGGGCTAAGCTTGTAGTCAGACTTCCTTAGTGCTGCCATGGAGGCAAGAGAGGCTCCTGCCACTGTGGCTGCAATTCCCATCAATGAGCCCGGCTCAGAGCTTCTGGCTGAGCAGTGCTCCCCACTGCATTGAGAGTCTGCCCTCTGGTGGTCAGTGCATGTCATAGTGACTGGTCATTCTGCAATTTGGTCAATTTGCGTATTAGCCTTTTATTATATAGGATATTGGAATACAGAATATATGTTTTTGTTTTGCAAAAAAAGATAGAGAAATGATTCTATGAGGTGGATAAAATTGAACATAAATCATCTTGTTGCTAAGAAGGTATCAAAATTGTGGAATTAATGAATTTAGTGTGGTAGTAAACATATTTCAGCCATATGATTCACTGGTACAGACTAAAGAAAATTCTCTGGGAATAGAAGGGGATAGAGAGGGATGGGGATAGTTTTCATCAATGATAGGTACTTGTTCTTTATCTCATGTTCCTTTAAAGAAAATGTGAATATGGCCTGCACTTTCTCCTTCTTAAGAACTTGAAGCTAAAATCTAGGACAAATGAGAGTTAATACATGTCTGGAATTCTTTAAAAGAACCAAGCAATGTAAATGTATGGCATTAAACTGAGTATCCTAAGAGTACCTTGTCTTTGGAAATGTCCTCAAAATGCCCTTAAAGTTATCAAGAGCAGGCAAAATGACATAGGTAGAGGTAGCCATTATGAAAAGGCATTTTGCTCAGACACAGACTATATTAAGTGAAGGCCTGAGGAGGGGCCTGGAGTGGGAAAAAGGAGGGCCATGGGGGGAAGACATTTTGAAAAACATAAGTAGGAAAAATGTTAATGAGGATAATGGAGAAACTTCATATTGAGTATGTTATTGTGTTAAAGAAATCAGTCAGTTTCAGAGTTCTTACTATGTGTCCAGCCTATTGTTAAATGTTGGACATAAGAAGGGAAATTGACAGATCTTATTTCTTTCAAATGGGTGACAGATAATTATACAAATAATTATCACACTGTGAAATTAGCATTAGGCTGGGGGCTTGCCCAAATTCCCCTGACAGCCCTGATGGAAATGGGACAAAGAAGGGTTAGATGAGGCATTTAAATTCATGCGAAGTTATTGACGGATTTATATGTCAACAAACCAATAGTGACATTGGTTTAGTTGAGGCAGGAAGGGGGGCAGGCGGGGAGTTGGAGGGTGGCAGCAGTTGCCAGACAGACAGGCATCACATTAGAAAGACAAAAAGAAACCAGGAATTTCTCTTCCAAGACCTCTTGGGGGGAAAATAGCCATAACTTTCTTCTGGTACACTGTGCTTGCTAGGAATTTATTTTTCCCCTCGTAATTAAAATCACACATATCCTCAAGCCCTTAGAATTTTGTGAGCATATTATATACTCAAGACATCAACTGGGCATGGTATTGTCAATGTGTGATTATGAGGAAAGGGTTAAACGGAAGGGGTGTTTCAGACATGGGAAGGCTGGATAGGGGATTGAAAAAGCACCATTTTCTGACTTGCAAAAACTCTGAACTTTTAAGCTCCCCAAAATACACGTGTGTGTGCGTGTGTCTCTTGTGTCTGTGCGCGCAGGCAGATCTATTTCGGTAGGATTTAAAAACCATTTTTTTAAATCATGCTCTCTCCGTATTGCTGCGCCGCAAACACGGAGCAGCCCCTTTAGGATCGCATGGCCAGAGCTGCAGCAGCAGCACCGGCTGGCAGTGCTGTTTACGCTGCTTTCCCTGCCGCCCTCTCCCCATTGCTCCTGGGGAGCCACCATCCCCGAGTCCCGGGCACCTCTGGGGACCTGGAACTGAGGGGCGGAGGCCTGGGAACCCGGATCACCTGGAAAACTTTGCTAGGGCTCCAGTCACTGTGCACGGGAACGCGCCACCCGCCCCGCCGCCTCTGCCGGGCGCCTGGCTTGGCCCTACCTCCGGGGAGAGGTGCAGGCTCCGGGCGCAGCCGGGGGGCGGGGCCGGCTGCGGGGGCGGGGCAGAGGGTGGGGGCTCGGCAGGGTATATAAGGCTGCTGGCGCCGTGTAACTTCTGACTTGGGCTTATTTATTTGGGGAGCTCGCACGCCGAAGCTGGTGGAGGTGGAGGTATTGATGCTGGTGCTGGCGGCGGCGTTGATTTTTTAAAAAAAGGCAGCAGCGAGCCATGGGAGCATCGTGGTGGCTCCGGGGAGCAGGCTGGAGCTGCAGAGTTTGCGGGGCGCGGCAGGAGTGCTGAGATTAAGGGGAGCGCCGGGGACCCCCGCAGCCGCTCCTGGGGCGCCGGCGGCCGGCTTTTGGATCGGCTGTGCAGCCCCAGTGAACACCTCCAGGCACAGCAGCAACCCACCTCCCCGCAGCCGGAGCGGACTGGACCGCCGCCGCGTCCATCCTATTGTTTAGACACTTGCCAGGAGCTCCCGAGTCCGCGGGGCCACCAGGTCCTCGCTCCTGCTCGCCCGCCGCCTTCCCTCGCCCCCCACTTCCCATCTCCCCATCCCGGAGCAGGACGAGCCGGAGCAGCCGGGAGAGGAGAAGGGGCTGGAGGAAGGAGCCGGGCTGTTCCGGATGGGACTGCAGCCGCCAAGGCAGGTGCAGCGCCAGGAGCCGGGCGTCGCAGCAGCGGCGGCGGCAGCAGGGATCCCTCCTCTGGACTCTGAGCCTGGGAAAAGTTCCTGACTTTGGGAAGGAGGACCCACTTGTCGGCAGCTGTCTGTCGAGGGGCCGAAGGGGGGCTGCGTCTGCCCAGGAGCCCGCTCTGGATTCTTCCACCTTTGCCATCAGGTGTCTGTGGTGATCAGCGCGGTACCCGGGAGACCGGAGGCGCCGCTGGCACAGACGCGCACACGGGACTGCCCTCCAGCTGCCTGCTGGGCGCCCACCGGCCCGCTGTCACCACCACGCCATCCGCCCAGGACACCCCCGCGGGACCCAGGACGCGGGCACCTCCACATTGGCCTTTGCACTCCCTCCGGCTGGCCCCTTAGAAGCTCAACTTGGCCTCTTGGATTCCCTCCACCTGGTCGTGACTAGTGGATATTACCGCCGGCTGCGGTGGCCCCGGTGCCCCCGGTGCCCTTTTGGCTTCTCCGTTTGACCTCGGGGCAGGCCCAAGTGCAGAGCACCGGCTAGGGGATTGAGTAGGCATCCTTTCTCGAAGTGCATGTGCATCTGCAAACCTTCCTGAATGCTGGCTGCGGGGAGGCAGTGAGGACTCGTCCCTGCAGCCGAGGAGCTGCGGGTCTGGTGTCCGAGAAGCCACGGGAGTGAGCTGCGCCGGTCGCCCCAGAAGCTCCCCTTGCCCGCGGGCTGCGCGCCCCCCTGTGCGCCCAGCGCGCCATGCCAGCTGGCCCCACAAGCACGGCTCCTGGCCCCCGGGGCGCCTGCGCCTTCTAGCTTCCCAGGAGAGCCCACTTTCACCGAGGACAGCGTTCCCGCGCCCCTGGCTCTTGCCCCTGCTCTGCGGTTGAGAGCCCGGTTCCGTGCCGCCAAGTTGATCTTTGCTACTCGTGACCTCCTCCTGGCCTCTCCGGGATCTTCCCACAGCCTTGGCCAGACCAGTTCATCTTCAGGACCTGAAGTTGCCCAAGGAGCGCCCGCCCCTCTGGAGTAGGGTGGAGGGGAGTGAAGGGGAGGGGAGAGGCGTGTACCTGTGCACGCTCTCCTTCTACCTTCAATATCAGAACTCTCACGTCCATCGTATTTCGTGCACGTTTCCCCGCACCCTCTGGGCTGCTAGCTCTGCACCGGACCCCAGGCCTCAGCGGTACAGGAACCCCCGGCACTGGCGAGCGGAGCGGCGGCGGCAAGGGAAGATGCCCGGCGGCGGCTGGCAGGCACGGCGCCTGGCGCTGGGCTTGGTGCTGGCCATCCTGAGGGAGGCGGCGGCTCAGGCGTGCCCTGCGCAGTGCTCCTGCTCGGGCAGCACCGTGGACTGCCACGGCCTGGCGCTGCGCGGGGTGCCCCGGAACATCCCCCGCAACACCGAGAGGCTGTGAGTACTGGCTCCTCTCCACCCCCTCTCCCCCGGGCGTCAGGGTCCTCTGCCCCAGGCGTGGAGACTGGGGGGACCTAGCGGCCCTGGTCCCTGCGCCCGGGGCAGCCCTCACTGGCTCTTATGCACACGCATCCTGAGGTTGGAGGGAGGCTTTGGGAGGGGAAGGACAGAGGGCGCTGCCCAAGGAAGGGCCGCTGCCCAAAGGGGGGCGGGACAGTTGACAAGGGGTCCCTTCTGCCCCCTCTTGTCCTGACACAAGCAGTCCTGTGAGGTCCAGCTCTCTGGCCTGGGGAGGCAAGGAGGTAGATGGAGAACAAGTAATTGCGGATGCTGGGGGCAAGGAAAAGGGGACCTCACTCCCCAGACTTAGTCAACAGAGTCACCTTGCATGGCCTAGACTCGCGGGGCAGTTTCCACACCGAGTCCCCGCTCTGGTGGCCGTGGGGTGGCGCAGGGACTGGGGGGGGGGAGCGGAGGGAGAGAGGGAGAGACTCAAAAGAAGCAACCTCCACTCCCTGGCTTTGTGTAACCCTCCTGGATCCGAAGGGAGGGGAGAAGGGGTCCCGAGGAAGAGGGAAGGATGCCCTGCAAAGCTGTGGCCAAGCTTGATCCCCGACTCCCCTTACTGTTTCCCGTCCCCCCCCCCCCACTTGTCTGGGGAACTGCAGGCGGTGGAGGGTCCTAGGGACCTGTCCCGGAGGCTGCTGCAGAAGCGGTCCACTCCCCACCCTTGGGCTAAGTTGGGTCTGCCTCTCCAGCCAGCCCCAGCCCGGCCAGGTCTGATTGCTCAGCGACTTTGCAGCCCTTGGCTGCCCCCTCCAGCCCTTTCTGCGGGCCATGGTGCTCCAGACCACCTTTCTGGCAGCTTCTGTGTCCCTTCCTCTGGCAGCAGCTCCCGGCCTTCCCCTCTTCGCGCTCCACTGCCCTGCAGACACCCCGCCTCCGGTCTCTGCAAACCTCTAATAAAGAAGTAATCCCTGTGCGGTGAGGATGGCCAGCTTACAGGGGGCACTTCTTGAGTTCAGGGAAATGGGGCACGCAGGCCTTTCTAACCTCTGTGATCACACTGGGCAGTCTGGGAACTGCCCAAGCTCCCTGGGTGCATTCCACTCGCTATTGCGCCCGCCTGTGTGGTTGCGGGACAAGGACAGCCAGGGCCAGGGCTCCTGACTTAGCTTCCAGGCCTCTTCGCCCCCAGGCTATGAGGGTTGCATGCTGCAGAGAGGACTTGCTCCAATCTGCACGTCTCCACTGGCAGGGCCCTCACTCAGCCCTTAGGCCAAATTTAACTTATCTAACCCCCTCGCCCAGCCCATAGTTTAAAGGCCAGCATTGAGCCCTTGATTCTTTGCAAATGGCTCCCCCATCTCCGGCCTCACTCCTTCCCTCAGCGCTAGTCAAGTTGGGGGCTTATGAAGGGTGTCTAATTAAAATGAGACCCACCACATTTGTCCAGGGTTGGGAGTAGGGAGTAGGATTGTGTCAACTTTAGTTAGTGAAGACTCCAATAATTGTAGGAACAACTTGATGTCACTTTGCTCAGCTTCGAGAACGGGCTGGGGAGAAAGCAACGCAGAATTCTGTTTCAGCACTTGGCATGCCATGCTATTGAGAACAGTTTTAAGTTTGAGCATTAGCATGTCTTACTCAACAAAAAGGGACAAAATAGCAAGTGAGTATCAGGTGTTTGGGGAAAAAAAATCCCTCTGAGGAATCTATAGAGTTTTCAGAAAATAGTTTACTCAATGATGCCTTATACAGTTCTCTCACTGCCTCATTAAATATAGATTTCAAACACAATCTTATACGTCCAGGTAAGAGAAAGCTTACTTCTGTGAAGGAGAACGTTCAAATCACAGCGAAGCCTGGTTTTACTTGACATTATTGGAACCAGGGCAAGTTTAGATCTTGACCTAAGATGCCAGAGGAGTTGTGTGACTCTTGAAGGAAACTTGGTGCTGAAATCTGAGCAAAAAAATCAGGGCCTGAATACTGTTTGTATTGTTGCCCCAGCTAGTGGTTTTCACTTTACAGCCACAGGGAGGATGGGGTGGGGGCAGCTCCCTAAGCTGCAAATAAAGAGTTTAGTTTTCATACAAACAGAATTGTTGGAAGGTAACTGCCTATAAATGCAAGTCTTTGAAGTGCAGCTTTTTGATGGTACTTTCTTCTTTGCCTTAGGAAGTTCAGCCACCCTGCAACCGGGGAGAGAATTTGGGATATTTAAAATTTCTTCTAGAGCAGTATTAGAATATTGTTCATTTAACTTTTTTGAAGGGAATTTTTTTGGGTTGTGCCTAAGAACAGCAGAATTCGTGTGAAGTTAATATACCTATCCTTATACAAACAAAAGTTGAGTAATCTTGATAGGACCTCCTTGATTTTTATTACTCTGAATATTTCTTGCCACTCCCTTCTGTTCTGCAAAGTTTCTATTGAGAAATCACCTGACAGTCTTATGGTAGCCCCTTTGTAGGTAACTAGGTGCTTTTCTCTTGCTGCTTTTAAGATTCTCTGTTTGTCTTAAACCTTTTGCATTTTAATTATGATGTGTCTCAGTGTAGGCGTCTTTGGGTTCATCTTGTTTGGGACTCTCCACACTCCCTGGATTTTATGTCTGTTTCCTTCACCAGGTTAGGGAAGCTACCATTTAGAATACAAGAACTTATAAACAGATTCTCAGACAAGAAAAAGCTAAAGGAGTTCATCACCACCAAACTACTATTACATAAAATGTTAAAATGTCCTTTTTAAGAAGAAGGAAAAAAATATTAAAAATATGAACAATAAAATGGCTGTAGATACATATCTATCAACAATTGAATCTAAAAAACAAAATAAGTGAGCAAGCAGAACAGAAACCGGCTGATAGATATAGATAGCATTTTAATGGTGGCCAGTTGAGAGGGGTTTGGGGAGTGGATGCCAAGAGGTAAAGGGATTAAGAAGTATAAATTGGTTATATGAGGCTGTAAAGCGTAGCAGAATCAACAATATTCTAATAACTGTGTATGGTGTCAGGTGGGTGTAAGATTTGCCAGAATGATCACATAGTAAGTTAAACAATGTCTAATCACTAGGGCATACACCTGAAATTACTGTAACACTGAATGTCAGTGTTAAAAATAAAAAAAAATAATTAAAAAATAAAAAACAAAAACAAAAAGAAACGAAAGTTGAAAGCATGCACAAAAGAGCACTTCTTATGACAAGATAATCCATTTTCCTATCTCATGCCAGCAAGTAGGGACTCTGTAAACTTGTTGATAATCACTTTTAAAAAAATCCTACAGAGGTTACCATTTTATCTCTTTTACTTTGTAAGCTACTTTAGTCATTGGAATTGACCTTTAACTTCAAGTTCTTATTTAGTTTATGTTTTTATTTATTTTTTAACTAGCTCTTGATAGAAACAAAGTGGAACTTTCATTTTCTTTTTTTGTTTTCTCTCAGGGATTTGAATGGAAATAACATCACACGGATTACCAAAATGGATTTTGCCGGTCTCAGACATTTGAGAGTTCTGTAAGTATGTTCTTCCGTGTTTTGAATAATTTTCTTTTTTTTTTTTAAGCTTGCATATTTTGAATTGTTACTGGTCTCAGTAGTAAAAACTGTCCCAAAAACATTTAAAAGGTCTTAGTTTTCTTTTTTTTCTTAAATTTATCACTGTACTACAACTTTTATTGAAATGTAGGCTTTTATTTTAAGATTAGATGCAAGCCATAGAAATAGTACTGTAGAAATGGCCTCGAGTGTTTGCAATGCCATACCATAAGTGCCTTAGACATATAAAAACGTAGAATACTTACTGTTACAATATGAATAAGTAATGTGAGACATTTGGTGCACTTTTAGGATTTCAGATTCACTAGAAATAATATAAATGGGTCTGCATTTTTATTACTAATATAGAAATGTTGAGCCTGTTCTATTAAGCAACACACATATAATTTCTAAAGTTAAAATCAAGCCAGCTTTCTACAGAGTATATGATGGGAAATTTTTTTTATAAAAGTATACTGGTCATATATTTAATTCTCATATTTTATATCTATATAGTTTTTATAAAATGGTTGTAATTGAATTACTTCTTTAATTAGTGAGTTAAATTAGTTCTGAGTGAAACATCATTTGAGGTTCAATATAATGTAAAATTCTTTCTCCCTGAGGTTGGTAAATATTTCCATTATAGTGAACATATACTTGGATCATTGTGTGTTCGGTGTTCTTTTAAAAAACACACTTGACCATTATTAATGCATTCAACTTCTGATGAATATCCATAAGTTAACTAAACTATGTGTATGATGAATTATTATATATTTATTCTCTTAGTTAAGACCTCAGTTGAAAGTCAGTTTACCTAAAAACATCCATCAGAGCTGCAGTGCTATGGGTTGTTTTCTAGAAAATGCTATATTTAAAGGTCCAAAGTTTTGACCGGTGAATTTCATGTCACTGTTAGAGCATTTTTCCCTGAAAGTTTGGGGATGTGGTTGCTATTTCTCCTCCCCGACTTCTGTCAAATATGTCATCATTAAGTTTGATATTGAATCTCAAACCAGAGCAAGATTTAACTTTATAAAGGGAAAGGAAAAGAGGTTGTACATTTCAGTTGCTGAATTGAAACTTATTCCGCTGGCGAGGGCTGGCATTAAGACTCCTGCTATATTTTGCATTTCAGTCAGCTTATGGAGAATAAGATCAGCACCATTGAAAGAGGAGCATTTCAGGATCTTAAAGAACTGGAGAGACTGTAAGTATTTTTAATTCCAAACTTATGACGACATAACTGTGTTTTTAAAAATACTTGAATTTCAAAGTCCTGCCTTTAATTTCATGTCTTCGCCTTTGAAACTTTATAGAAACAAGAGGTTGAATAGTGGCTTTCAGACTCATTAAAAAAAAAAAGTCTTTTTTTTTTTTTTTTTGCATAAATAGGACTAATTTGAAATAAAGCTAAAAATACAGACTTACTTTCCTGAAACATTTACTTCCTTGATAACCACTGCTTTGATACTTTGAGATGTATATGATCTTTTTATTGTTCATCTAGTTTGTTTTATTTGCTTATGTAGGAAGAAAGGTGGTCATTTTATTTACATTTATGCTGCATTATGGAAAAGAAAAGTTTTGCTAACAGTAATATCATTCCCATGTTGTTTCTTTGTGTGTAATCAGTGATACTTGAAGAATACTTTACATTCTTAATGATAGAGATTTGTGTTGTGATATTTACAACAGTGAATGTTGTTATTTACTTCTATTCACAGTTGCATTTCATCATTTTATATTAACTTTCTAAGTTTTTCTGCTGGAAAAATAATTTATAGGTTAACAGATATGAAAGTAAGAATTATGTCTTCCAGGAGTGGTTATTTTAACATGGTTCTTTTTTTTTTTTTTTTTTTTCAAAAAAGAGAAATGTAATTTAGATTTTAAAATACATATATTTTTTTCAGACATAAAATTTTAAGGATTGGTGAATATTACCAGAGTGCCCTTGTTATATCATATCTACAGTGTGTATCTACAAAGGTCAAAACATCTGTCTGTAATAATTAGGATAAATTACACACTTTGTAATTTGATGTATGAATTCCATGTCTCATATGTCTTGATAACTCAAGTTTAGTAGATTTGCATTTTAAGGGCAAATACAGTTCTTTTAAAAGTAGAAAGGATTATTTTAATGTTTCCATGCCTGCTTTAATAGGTACTTTAGGTAAAAATAAAACGCTTCTTTAAAATAATGAAATATGATGTTAATTTTAGGCATTGTACATTCACATTCACTGGACCTAAGGGGAAAAGTTAATTCTGTGTAATTATCTCTAAATAAAAAAAATGCTTGTCAACTTCTAAGATATATATAAATATAAAGTATAGATGTTTATCACCTCAGGTACATTAAACACAGAGGTGCCTAATTTCTTTTACTATATATTTTTACTATAAAGTTTTATCCATGGTGAATCTTACAGTATAGGGAATATTATTCTGGAGTTAAAAGTAAATTTAAAATCACTACTTTGAGGTGGTTTGGGGAAGAGGAATAAAAATAAGGCAAACACTTGGTTAAATTCATAAGTTCATAACCTATTCTTTATATATAAAAATACTCTGAAAATATTTATTCTTTGATTTCCTTTATAGGCTTTTATGAATAGCTAATACCTTGTAAAGGTATCTTTAATTCATTCATTTAAAAAGAGGTAACGATATAATTTTAATGCTCAGTAAGTTGAATAGATAATTTTAAATTATCATTTAAACATTAACAGTTTTTTTTTTCATGAATAACTTGACTTAACTAGTTGCCGCATGGAAATCTATATGTTTTTTTCTATAACAACTTGCAAATTATTGCGGGAAACATGATGGCTTTTCATGGAGATTCTATTTAGGTTGTAGAATAAACGTTTTCAGAAATATTATAACCTATCAAACTTTTGGAAACATTACAACATATCAAACTTTCTCATTATTTTTCAAGGCACTCCAGGGTATCATTTAATCTTTCATCTTGAATAAATTAACTTTTCTTAAAAATTATTAACCAGATGCCATATGATCTGAGATTTGATTAGAGCTGTAAGTAGGTACTAGTTTTTGACTTTAACTTCCCCCGGGAATGTCACTTCATCACGGAACAATTTTCTGCTCTACTAAGATGTGATCAGATGTTGCAGAGTCGGAGAGGAGGATTTGTAATTTTGAATGAAAACTAATATATATGCAGGACTTCTTTAAATCACCCAGCTGTTGGCAAAGAGCAAATATTTCATATTTGTGAGGAAAAGCTGAGAAAATTCCTTTTGTTTACAACTGCCAAGTCCATCTGATGGAAGCACATTGTTATCTGACAGCCAATTCATCTCCTTGGGACTCAGGAATTCAAAACCATTTCTTAGGAACATTGTGGATACACTTTTCAAATATTTATTTTTAAAAATACATTAAATGCAAAGGCAGTTTTGCTTAAGGATGCATGCATTCTAGTTATTGTACAGCAAACTATTTTAAACTTTTTTAGAATATTATATTAAAAAGTAAAAATAAACAAAAGCTATCCAGGGAGTTGTATAATAAAATTTCTATGGCCTGTGGTATATATCCTTATTTTAGTTGGAGGTATCATTAACATCTCAGACATTGCCTTTTTTTTTTTAAGTTCCAAGAGACAATGTAAGAGAAAGGAAATAATCAGTGAGTTAACTTTTAAGTAATTATATGTTTTATGAGCTTACATTTTTTTTTTTTTTTTAGCAATTTAGATGTGAATTTTTAATTGGAAGTCCAAATTATGAAAAGGTGTATAATTGCAGGTTTATGTTGTAAATGCCATTCATACAATATTTATAGTAACTTAATTTTCATTCTTTGTGAGAAGAAAAAAATAAAATAAAATTAATTTTATTTGTATGCAATTTATGGTTTTAAGTGATTTTTTTTCATTTTAAAATGGTAAAGTCAAAGCAATTCCAAATCACGTTTGTGAGTATATTAAAACTATAAGCTTTCCCCCCCATTTTATTTCATGTTTATAAAGTTTTATACCTACAGAAACAAGATAAATCTGAAAACAGAAAATAACATTTGTGCCTTCTTAGAAATCCAACTTTTAATCTATAGGAAACAAGGTCATGTTGTTAAGTTGAAATAAATTTTATCATAGAATGAGCAAGTCATTGTTAGTCAAATCATTATCATTAAAAGAGAGATTTTTTCCCCCCGCCTAAAAGAATCAATGACATGTAAGGTTATTAGTGAAAATCTCAAGTAGATAGATATTAAAATCTACCCCCTCCCTCTCTCTTCTCACTTCTTTCTATTGTGTATAAAACAACATCAGAATATGCTTATGAATCATTGTAGAAAAGATAAATTTTATTCAGGCTTACACAGCATGAGCACACATTATTTGGGTATAGACAGTTTCTTACTATTCTCCCAGAGCTAATGTGGGCAGTGGCTCCTTTTCATGGGTGCTCTGTGCTGCCAGTAGAACCTGCACATTTGGGAGGAAAAGGAGGCCCCAGGTAGATTCTATTAGCAGGTCTTATTGCTTCATCAAAATGTTCAAATGAAATCCAGTGCGCTTACATGGCTAGTTACTAATTAGGTGCAGTGGAAATTAATTAAGGAAGACAAACTACAAATCAGCTACAGTACAGAACTGAAACTTTTAGGAAATATACTTTTTTTAAAAAATACTTCACAGAAGATACCTGCAGGTATCTGCAATAAAGTCTTACATGCAGAACTGTCAATTCTAGGAATTTATTGGCTGGTGCATAATGTCTTAGAAGGTCAAAACAATCACTTTGGGACCTAGTACTGTTGTATGCTGCGCTAACGATTGATTGCTCACGTACAATTTATGGGATTATGTTGGTGATAGAAGTTGCAGTCTAGGCTGTTTAATGAGACCCAGGCCACTCCCTGTTTCACTAGTGAGATTCATCTGCTTTTGCAAGTTTCTTAATAACACAAATGCAAGAGTGTAAAAAGGTCTTTGAAAAATTTTAAAGTTGACAAAAAATATTAGGCCATTTTATCCTGCTTACATTGAAATGCTTACCTGCAAAATAAAATACTTTTAGGCCTAGATTACGTTAATGACAACCAATCACATACCATAGAAACCCTTGAACATTAGGCTTTTCATTAACTTGACCCTCCATTTATACCCTCACAATAAGGAAATTGCAGAAATGAAAAAGTCAAGGGCTAGGGCCGCTCCTCTTTTCTTACAAGCTCTGTGTGAGCTTGTCCTTTTAAAACCAGGATTGCTTTAAACTCTCCGAGTTTTCGACTCTTTGGGTGCGAATTACAATTTTCCTACTAACTTGGTCATGAGTCCTAATATGATAGTAAAGCCATCTAAGGAATCCTGGAAAAGAAACCTGTTCCCTTACTAGTTTTAAAGTTTCTCCCAAGATGACATAAATGTACTCATCTTAATTCACAAATGTCTAAATCCTGGTTTAGCAGAGCCTAAATATACCTCAACACTACACTATCCTGAAAGGATACCTAAAAGGCACATTGATTGTTATTTTTTAAGGTGATGCTGAATTAATTTTTCTGCATGCACGCACCATTTATAGGTAAGCCTGTGGCAGCCAGTGTGAGGCTGAGGCTGAGGTTTTGTCATAGGTGGTTGGTTACACATGAGTTCAGGTAGAGAAAAGGCTGAGGAGCAGGTCTGAAGGAGAGCACCCTTTACCCCTTCTTCACCAGGGAGGGATAGAGAGTCCCTCTTCTGAGTAATCCTACAGTTTGTGGACAACACAGAGCATATTCCTTTTCTTTTTCTTTTTTTTTTAAATTTTATATATATATATATATATATATATATATTATTGATATTTTACAGAGAGGAAGAGGGAGGGATAGAGTTAGAAACATTGATGAGAGAGAATCATTGATCAGCTGCCTCCTGCACACACCCCCTACTGGGGATGTGCCCGCAACCAAGGTATATGCCCTTGACCGGAATCGAACCCGGGACCCTTCAGTCCCCAGGCTGACGCTCTATCCACTGAGCCAAACAGGTTTTGGCCACATCCCTTTTCTTAACGTGAGGGCAGACTCAAATGCTAATCTCCTTGGAAGAGAACACAAGCTCATTTTAGAAGAATTGTTCTCTGGCAACTTTACCGTCCAGTTTAAAAGCGGTGCTTTGATTTTCTTGGGAAAGGCTCTTTGAAGGACATATCAAACCTTAGGACCCGGGGCAGAATATATACA